TATAATTTGATGAGGACGCCAACAGTTATAATCCACAGCTCTTGAATTTCTTAGTAATTAACTTCTTTGACCCTGCCAGACACAGCAGTGGGTCAGTTTTTACAACCTCACGTGAAGTGGATAAGTCGCGTTCACACTTGTTTTATACAGTCTATGGTTCAAACACCACCTATTTTAAATTCCAAAGGAGAAGGTCCAACTTGTCATGCTGAACATTTGAGAATAAATGCATGAAATGATGCATGTAGAATATTTATATTGGATGTAACTGTGAAGCCAAATAACCTATCCTGTCTTGGGTTTGAATATTAATGTTTCAGTTTAAACATCATCAAGCAGAATTTATAACTTCACCACTGCAACAGAATCACTTCATGACATCCAGAGTTGAAGAGATTAATATAAGAGGAACCCAGCAGGCAACCAAATGCAATAATCCACAGCACTTGAATTAATTAGCAATTATCTCGTAATTCCGGCATGTGCCATAGGCCATCGTAAAGCATTTGGGGTTGGGTCTGCTTATCAGTGCTGCAGAAGCTCAGCCGACGTCGATTGTCTTCTCTTACACTTTCAACTCAAGCAGCTACAAGCCTCCACTTTGCATGTTCTGTAGACTCTTTGGTGTTTTCCCTAAATGAAGGTGGAATTAAAACCATGCGGATGCTTTTTCTTGTTTAGTTAATTTACTACAGATCACGTTAACAATACATCACTTGCTATAATTATTGCTAACCATTTTCTAAAACCCATGATAATGTCTTTTTTTTTTTTTATATGTAATTTTTAACCACTGGTTTCTATTCTCATGCAAAAATCAACACGCAGAGACTTAATACTAATTATATCTGCTTTTTATGTTGCATACACATGGTTTCATTTCAGTGAAATGATTGTGTGTCTATTTAGGATTTCGTAAATGTGCAAAACAGTTGGATGCAGCTCCTCAGTTCTTTTTTTAAATTTTTTTTTTTTTAGACAAAACAGAAACAAAACAATATCATAAAAACACACATTACAATGAAGCACAAGACATTACAAGGAGAGGGAAAGAAGGCTTTGTTTGTCCCTGGGTGCACAGGTTACACCAGTTGCCCAGCGTCCCCAAGGGCGAACTAAGCCAAAGGGTGAGAGACTTGGGGGGAGGGTTGGTACATGACATTGAGGATGATGATGCCAAGACAGTTTCCCATTCACTGTAGACATCTTTACCCCATTCAATCTCATCGGTTCTACCTTGCACCCGCTCAGGTCCTACTCGCATTTGTGCCATAAACATTAGCCCTTTGTCACATACATACACAAATGTGGATACATACTAATGAGGTCATTATTTTGTTATTGTTCACATAATAATGTTCATATAACAGCTTCTCAGTTCTGACGTCAGAAAACTGTGGAGGTTGGGGGTTTGCAGACTTGCAGAAGTTCGGCCAGTGTCACTGTGAATGAGAGTAATGTTTATTTATTACGCCTAAAGAACAATTTGACGCAAGTTAGTTTAGTTATGAGTCATTTATTTGGATGTCACTTGATTGTAGCATTACTTTTAATACAAGTTAACATTAATAAGCTAACGTTAAGTCACATAATGATGGTAACGTTTTTTTGTACCAGGTTGTAAACAAGCATTTGAACATGGGGGTCTATGAAGGTTCGCTTTTGGAGCCAGCCTCAACCGGCCTTTCGAGAAAATGCAGTTTTCCCACTGAGGTGAGACGGGTTGGTGTGTTTTTCTCTGACAGGATGTTTATGAGGGAACAGCTACACATCAAGTTCATCATTGGTACACACCCAATACTACCAGAGTAGGTGAAAATATTAGTTGATCAGATAGAAACTTGTATTTGTGTAAACGATGGCATGCGACCTGTGCAGGCCTCAAACAGGAAGACTCACTTTCACCTTGAGTCCACCCTCCCCCACGCACCCTTAATACAGTACTCATGTTTATTGTGTACACAAGCTGATAAAAGGCTGCAGTTGTCTAGGTGTGGTCGCTGTCAGACACCAGGCTGTATCATTAGAAAAATGGCAGGTTTTATCTCACTGACTACTCCACAATCGTTGCCTCTGTAATAACCAGCTCGATGGTTACCTTCATATTAGCTCCATCATAAACAAAGGAAATGAGCATTGTAGTCGTGCAAATTATGACCAATTTCGAATCAGGACAAGTATATAGTAGCAGCGTGGTTCTCAGCAATTATTAGAGTTTGTCTCATCATGTTTGGGGCAACAGATTGGTATGATTCACCACTATGAATACGGTAGCAAGTAAGTTAAACACAATATTCACAGGAATATTCACCGTGTAGCTCTACATAAATTTTTTATTGTAGCTGCTGAAGACATAAATCTTTAAAAACAGGTTTTAAAAAGCTGGTCACTGTAGTTCTTCGGCATCAGACTGACCCACATTGGTGCTTTAGGGCTGCTAGTAAGTAAGCATTTGTCCAAATCTATTTCCAGTAATGCTGGTTAAGCTTAACCTTAATGTTCTGAATATCACCACACTTTATTTGAATTCTGCAATCTTCCCTATGCGACTAGACTATCTTGATGTAAATCTTCTAAATTATGTTTGATCGATTTTTTACTCAAAAGAGACTAATACTCTAATACTTACTACTATTAACTAGGAAAGAGAAAGTTTGTGTTTTTTTTAAATCGGATCCATTTGAGTATTTCTGAAGTCTTTAGAGTTGACGCCTGGCTTGGCTTCAGTTTTTTATGTAACAGTTTCTTTACTTAACAAAACGGTTTATGTTTGGTTAGGGTTAGGGAAAAGCGGTTAAAGTCAAGAAATATGCAAAGATGGGACTTGCTTGTGAGCAGGGCTTTCAGGTGAGCCTTTCCTCCGGGATGGAGCTACACAGAGCTGGACAACATCAGTGATGTGACGCCTCTCGTCCTTGAGGTGATATTTAAAGGTCAAAACCCTCATGTGCGAAAACGCGACCAATCACACTAACACACACACATGTTTACATTCAAACAAATGTACACAGCTCAAGAAACCCAGATGGCAGCGCATTGCCACACAGTCCACACATGCACGCATGAACACACACATTACACACAGCAGCCAGACAAGAATGTGAAGTGGAAGCGCGCACACACGTCTGTTTAGTCGGCGTGTGTGTGTGTGTGTGTGTGTGTGTGTGTGTGTGTGTGTGTGTGTGTGTGTGTGTGTGTGTGTGTGTGTGTGTGTTCTGGGTGGGGGAGGGGCAGGTTGGTCAGGAAGAGGTTATTCTAGTAATTTCTTGCAAATCAAATTTTAAACCATTTTAATTTATTCAGACAAGGCATTTAAGAGGCATAGTCAATTAGTACTAAGTAACACAGTATAAATTAAAAGCATCTTATTTGGAAAGTTAAGCCATCCTGTGGCCCCTGGAACTAGCAGCAGAAATGCCCTTGGAGTCGGCTTTAGACGGGGGTTATAGGATGCAGAAAGCAGGATATATATAAAGGTTTCAACTATGTGTATACTTGGCAATGCTGTGTAACTAGAGCTTATTATCCCTGTGGTGTGAGGAGGATGCCTGTACAGAGGGGTTCACTGCAGGACACCCACCGAGTTAAACCGGGAACAGATACGAGTGTGAGCAACGCAGGCTTCAGCTAAATGAGCTTTGCTGTTAGTAAAGGGGACGAAATGATTGTATTCTTTGTGCCATAATTAGTGTTTTAGAGCAGCCGACTTCACTTAGAATTGTAGGTTGGTGCACTGTAATCTGGCATTCTGCGTGTGCATTGTTGGCATGCAGTGACTTAACCCGAACCGCCATGTTTAATTATTGTTATTGTTTTTTATTTAACCTTTATTTTACCTGGAAAGTCCCATTGAGACAAAATCTCTTTTACATGGGAGACCTGGCAAAGAGGGCACATAACAAGAAGAAACAGCGTAATTAAAATAAAATACAGGACAGAAAATATATACAAAAGACACGACCATTAGGGGTCATACATAAAGAATACATACACAGAGTGACAGAGATGCTTACATGTAACCATCAGGGCCTACACTTTTTAGCAGAAAACCTCCTGACCAACACAAAACAGATGCTATGAAATGGATTTACATTAAGTCCCGGGCCCCCGGGATCAGTGTGCATCATTTGGTTTGTAAGTCAATGAAATACATTTACTCAAGTATTTTACTTAAGTGCAAATTTGAGGTATTTTAATTGAGTATTTTCCTTTCATGCCACTTTCTGCTTCTACTCGTGCCACATCTCAGAGGGAAATATTGTACTTTTTACTTCATCACACGTGAAGTTTATAAAACATGTTTTCTTACACATTTACAGCTGACCCGATTATTAGATTGACATTGAAATTAACTGGTAACAACTTTGATTGTTTAAGACGTTATGGGCTTTGACTCCAGTAGAAATTTTAAATTGAAGGCTTCTACTTTTAGTGGAGTAAAATTTAGCCGGGGTATCTGCACTTTTACTAAGTAGTAAACAGGATTTGTGTACTTCATCCACCACTGACTAGGCTACACCACAATTTCAAATGCTGTAGTCTGCACATGGGAGTACATCGATACACAATGCATAAAAAAACAGAAGAGCCAGGGGCAAAAAGAGGCCTAGTGTGTGTGCATGTATGCAGGCATATAGTCTACACATATAGGCTTACTCTTTGTAAAGAGACCCACTTACTGCAGTGGTTGCTGATTCTGTTAAACATCTGGAGTTCATGGCTGACAGAGGTTTGGGCTACACCATTTTAATACCTGCAGACAATGAATAACTTTCTACCTGCACATGTGACATCATCTGCAAAGCTCAAGAAAAGGTACAGCATGTATGGTGCTGAACGTCTGCCTCTATAGGCTTTCTGTCCGTCTTCCCGACGTCAGAGTTACGCATGGCTTCTCCGTTCCCCCAATTGGCCCGCGTTGCTCCGCCCTCCTGCTAGGTAACTTGTCGGGAGTTTCGGGCGGAGCCAAGAAGGAACGGTTTATATTGGGGGGGACCTTCCAGCGGACCAAGCTGGGTTCCTCCTCTAGCGACGGGTGCGGACTTTGGTTACCACACGGAGGGAGTCCGCCGAGGAACGACTTTAAGGAGCAGCTTAGCGGGGAAATAACTGAAAATGCCTTCAAATAAAGAAGATGGCGGATGGAAGAAGTTTCTGTGGGATTCGGAGAAAGGAGAGCTGTTCGGCCGTACCGGTAGCAGTTGGTGTAAGTATGGTCAATCTGCCCGGGTGTTCGTGGTGAGATGGTATGCGCGCACACGGTTCTTGGAGCGCGCACCGGTCACCTCGTGTTTCTTACCACCTGTTTGATTTGACTTTGCTGCATCCAGTAACAAACCGGCATCATCATTCATTTTGCGCCATGGTAACTCATAAGTTTCACTTGATTTGTCAGTCCCCACTTCTGATCTGACCTGACCTCGGGAGTCCACATCCCCACCCCCCACCCCCCCCTCCTCTCCTCCCAGACAAGGTGGCTTTAGTTTTATTAAATAGCTCAGTGACTGTGGGGGGAAAAAAAGGTCCTGATGTGTTGAGCTCCAAACTGTCCACAGTGAGACAGCGCACACCGGGGCTGCGGCGCGCGCTGCGGTGCAGACGGGAGACAGCTGGCTGATGATTGGACCTCAGCTGTTGACTTTTTTTTTGTTGTGTTGTGGGAAAAGGCAAAGTTGTCGTTTGGCAATTTTTTTTTCAGGAATGGGCAGGCAAAGAGTTAAAAATGCATCACGGTCCAAGGTGAGTCAAGGTGATAGGGGCCCCGCTCGGAAATGGAGAAAGGACTATCGATCCGTGTCGGGTTCCTCTGATCAGGTGTCTATGTAATCTAACGAACAATACCACTGATTAACTTGTCTCGACCTTTCTTCTCTTGTTTCTCCTGCGCTGTGCGGCTGTGCGCACGTCCTTGTTCCTCCTCTCAATGTCACACAGCTGTTCGGTCCTGTCTGGACTCTTAACACCTGGGTAAAAATAATGTTTCAGTGACACCACATCTGCTCAGCCTAGAGTCCGGCCACTGCAGGTGCTCCAGCTGAGTGGGGCTGATGTGTGGAGGTGGTGGCGGGGGGCTCTTAATCTGTCCTTCTGAGGTCATCTGAAAAATGCTGATGCATTTTTGGAAGTGTGCCATGCGCAGTGCCGTGTTAATGGCTGTAATGAAAGGACATCCGGGCGGAGGTGGGGACCACCTAACAACAAATGAGTTTTAAACACAATATATCAGATCTGTATCTTACTCATGTCTGCAGTTTTACTTTTGCAGACTGCCGAGGAATGTAAACCGTCCTCGTGCTGTGGCTGAGATAAGGTGCCATAGATATCTAGGATTGTTAGATTTACACTCCAGAGGACACAACCTTTGACGTCTGCATCTAATAAGCTCAAGTGGCTGTCACATATTAATGCTTCATGTGACCTTTTTGACATTGTTTCATGCAGCAAAAGACTGACTGACTGGTAGAATTTATAGCTTGCCAGCTGCAAGGTTATCTTCCGCCGTATGTAAATGTATTGCTTTGGATTGCAGATACTAGACTTGTAACCCTCTGTTAGCTGCAGTTGTACAGCATCTTCATGCCAAATATTGATTACAGTGAGGAACTAACAGTGCCTTGTATAAGTACTACCTTGTATGCACAGGATTCACAGTAAAAGTAAATCTGTAAAGACAATGGCAGCCACTGTTGTATTGCGTTATTATGAATGGTGGCATTGTAGTTCCTTAACAACCATAGTTGAGACACAAGCTCTCCTGGCATGTTCTTTTCTGACAGGCATCCTTAGAGCTGGAGCAGCTCGATGAAAGACTACTTCACTTTGAAGAGACTTTTGAGTTTGTACTCAGAAATATGCGGTTTCAAAGGTTACAATGGTGTAAAGTCTCTGAGCCAATAAAATGCTGATGAACTAAACGTTACTTGAAGTCCTGTTCCAAACAACACTTCATTCAAAAGTGTTCATATCTGTTAAATCCATTTCTTCTGTTTAGATGAATCTCTACGAATCGATGTAGGTTTAATCACAGAAAAATGTATAAAAGTAATTTGCTCCCTGAAAGGTTGGTATTCAGCAGAGGCCCCATTGCAGCAGTTCTAACCTTGAGTGTGTATCAGCTCTGCTCATCTGCACACTGCAGTTTGTTTCCTCCATATCTCTGCACAACCATTTGAGCTGTGTCAAGTTACATGGGGACTGAGTGGACAGCCATTTTCAAGTCCTGCTACAAATACTGGATTTAGCTGTAGGTCCGAACCCCGGGAGTTAACCCTGTGGTTCCGGTGTAGCTTTGGCTTTATGTTTGGGTTGGTTCTCTTGCAGAGTGCTGGATGTTCTCCCCTGTATTTTTCTGCATTCTTTAGATCCTCTAGCTTGAACAGCCTGTACGTCCAACGTCCAGCCCCTCAGTGTGTTGCTGACGCCAGCAGGTTTAATGCTGGCGGTGGCGTGTTTCCGCTTATGTGTGGTGTTTAGCATAAACCAATCAAAGTGCTTGTTTAACAGCAAAAAGCTCATTTAAATTATTTATGGTCTATAATTTGTCGGTCTCATGAGACCATAAAACCTTTTTCCACTTTGTCTCAGTCTGTCACATGCCTTCTGGCAAGCTGAGATGTCATGTGAGGCTTTTCCTTTCAGCAGCTGTGATGCTGAAGCACATGGAACAGTTGTTGTGTTCATACCTCGGACTGTATGGGGGATTGACTCGAGCCGGCCTCATGTGGCCCTTCGAGGAACTGAAGTTTTCGTCACTTTCGGCTTCGTTTCTCAGCCCTGGAGGATGCCGCTCGGTCCAAACTCCCTTCTCCCACGTAGGCCTCAGAGCCCTGCAGCTGCCCAACAGGCTCAAGTATACGCAGGCATCCTTTTGAGCATAGCTACTTTTGTTAAATACACTTTGTTTGTCCGTTAACATCCCAACATAGAATCGCCTGGTAGAGGTGGGAATCACCAGAGGCCCCACGATACGATTTTTCTAGTGGACTAAAAAATAAATATTTTATTATTCTGGTACCAAAGTTAAAATTCCCATCTGCAATTTATATAATAAAATATCGATACTTGGCGTCCGTGTATCGATACAGTATTTCCATGGCAAATATCATGATACTATGATGCATCAGGGTTTTTATTTTTTGTTGTTGGTGGTTTGTTTTTTTTCCCCACCCCTATCGCCTGGTGATCTCCAACTTTATGTGGCTTGTAGACTAAAAGACTTGAGGTTGTGAATCTTTAGGCAGTCAGTTACTGTATTTGTTTTACATTTGATTTTACTTTGCCCCATGTGGATTTACTGTTATAGAACTTGATAGTAAAAGTCCAAGGTGTTGGATACCTTTTTTTTTTTTTTTTATAGACACCGTCACTCCAGTTGTGTAACTGTTATCAGCTGTGGCGGTGTTGCTCAATCCAAGTGTAGGTCTTCTAAAGTTTACCTGTTACAGAATGAATGCCTCAGTCTTTGTTCGTTTCCGTTTCCATTTTGGCAGCTCCTATCAGTGAGAACAAGCGATCCGTGCGGTTTAAACTTTAGAGGTACTATCTAGAATTGGCCCAGGTGATAATATTATGGCTTATTGTTGTTCGAACAGTACCTCATGATGATATTATTGTACAGTCTTACTTTTTAAAGATTTTGTATTTACCTCTAATTACATATGAGTCTGTATGATTTTTAGTTATTTGTAACTCATAACGGTGGAATCCAGTTTGTTTTACCTTCTGTCTCTGTACAGCTTTACTGACACATTCTTTATTTTTTTTTTCTCTCTCTGCAGTCAAAATTTTTTTGTTCTATGTCATTTTCTACGGCTGCCTGGCCGGGATCTTCATCGGAACCATCCAAGCCATGCTGCTCACCCTGAGCAACTACAAGCCCACCTGGCAGGACAGAGTCGCACCCCCTGGTAAGAAATGTCACCCACTTCCTGTCTCTTAAAGTCCAAAGGCTGTTTTCTCGACACTCGTAAAGAAAGGCAGAATAAAGACGCAGCTTGGTAACGGGTCGTGTGATGCTTAGAGGATCTTCCAAGTAATGTTTCCTAAACAAATAAAATGGCAGCGTCTAGAATGGGTCTGTAAAATAAGTCTCCTAGTTTTTGTTATTTCAGAAGCGCTGTGACCTCTTGGTGCTTACTCAGTGGATCAGAAGCTGCCTTATCAGTGCCGGTTTTCGTGATTCAGTAATTGTTTTTCATGGAAGTCTCAGCATGAATATATGTGTAAACCATTCTGGTCAAGTAACGGTGTTATTATGTATGACGCTGACTTCCAAACAAAGGTTAGATGTGGGATATCATATCTGTCTTTGGAGACAAACATACAAGTAACAGGAGTTTATCTAGGCAGCGCACATGGATAAATTTAACCCTATCCAATACATAATTGTGTATATTTATTTCCTTTTTTATAAAAGTCAGATTGATTCTTTAATAATTTTTTGACATGGGGCTGTTTTTGTGGTTCACTCGAGTGTTGGCTGGTGGAGTTTCTCAGCTCATACCTGTAATTATATGTTTTGAGAAAACGGTCTCACCACAAACCTCCAAATCTCCAGAACAGCTAATCAGAACTTTTGCACAGAAAACATACACAATACTTTATCTTCAACTATAATGAAGTAACATCTAAAGATTGGAAATATTATAAATGGGTGATCACGGTGTTTGTCATACTTTTTAGTGACCGCATGCAAGCTGGCTCGGTTAAAGATACACCTGCACAGTTATCAGAAACATAGATGTGGTGTTTATATATGCCACAGCGCCGCTGATCCTTTGATATGACTTATCAAGATTTCTGAAATCTAAAAATAAACAGGGATCTCCGAAACGATAACTAACTACACATGCTCTGCCTTGGTGTCACATTTCTTTAGAAAAGTCAACACGCATGTTCTTTGTTGGTACATGTGCTCACTCTGGCCTCAGGAAATGTGGCTGCGTATTGTCTCGGAAGTGAACTCTTTATATATCATCATATCACGGTAGCAGGGCAGTGCTGACAGCAAGCTTCCCCTGTGTACACAGCACAGGCTGGTTTCTGTGGCGGGGAAGGCCAGCTGGTGTTCACCAGGCCAAACTGAGCATGTGCGGGGTACAGTCAAACAGCTGTTTGAGTAGACAGGATGAAGGCTGGTTGCAGCCAGCAGCTGTCTGAGGCTTTCAGAGTTCAGTGAGCATTGTGATCATTTGAGGTCATTGAAGTTGTGTTACCTGGAAACCTCCCCAGTGACCTGATTTCTGGTCAGCCAATTAATAATTGACACTATTTTGTAAAGATGCAGCTAATAGTTGAAGTTAAAACAACACAGATAAAGTTAAAATGAGCTCCCTAATGTGTGGCATTATCTGGGCCAGAGCACCAGCCTGACATTTAAAGAACCACTCATTTGCATTTTTACCCAGTCACATGAGATCTATCAGTTTCATCCAAGTCCAGTACTGAGACTCTGCAGGACTGGACCGTATTCAGCTTATGTTAGCACAAAGACTGAAAGCAGGAGGAAACTGTATCTGTTTCCTGGATGCAAAGACATGACATTGAATCTGCACAAGCTGGCAAAATCATTAAACTCAAATGTCAGATTTTCAGACTTTCTAGGCTTTCTGCTCTATGAATTTTTATTCACTTATTCTCTGGGATCAAGACACACACATTCAACACAGTTTCGTTCCTGATAACAAATGCAGGTAATCTGTTGTCCCTGCAGGCCTTACACACACCCCACGATCAGACAAATCTGAAGTTGGCTTCAACCTCAATGACTTTGAGACCTACCTGCCTTACACCAAGGCCCTGAAGGAATTCCTGGCCAAGTATGACGAGGAACAACAAAGGGACCAGATGAAGTATGAGGACTGTGGAGGTAGGATTCACTGACGTCTCATTGGCTTTCAAACATTGCTGCTTGAAAGGTTTGACTGTCAGACATTGTTATTGAGTCCTGATTTCCCCCCCAGATGAGCCTGCAGAGTACAAGAACCGGGGCGACTTGGAGAGCGATGTAGGGATCAGGAAGGCCTGCCGCTTCCCCAGGAGCCTGCTGGGACCCTGCTCCGGCATAGAGGACCGCGAGTTTGGTTTCAAGGAGGGCAAGCCCTGCCTGATTGTAAAGCTCAACAGGATTGTCAACTACCGTCCAAAGGTGATTTTGTTTTTTTTATTGTTTTTTGTTTTTTTTTAAATGAACGTTAAATTATTAAGTCTGCTTGCAAATGCAGTCATGTTTTGTTGGAGGCCAAAGTCCAAATGTATGAAATTGCTGGTGGATGCAACAAATTTAGCCTGAAATCTGAATTTGGCTGTTCAAAATCGCAGCCAGTGCTGTGTGGGCCTGACTTATTTTTCCTCTGCAGCTGGAGATAATGGGAAGAGGCAGGTGACCTTTTCGACTTTCAGAACGTGTCTAAACTGTACATATGCCTTTTACACCTGCTGAGATCTGAGCTAGACCTTTCACTGTGGTCTTGTCCATCCAATCACAATACGTTCTGTGTGCATGTTTTTTACTGAACGACATATAGATTGTATTTAAGCACCAGGTAGAAATGGGGGGGACATAATCTCTGTTGATGAAGCATTTGGGTCCAGTCCACATCCTAACTTGTCTCCTTTTTTTTTGTTTAGCCTCCTAGCTCTAACGACAGTATCCCTGAAGAGGCTAAACCCAAGGTGCAGCCCAACGTCATCCCGATCTACTGCACCAACAAGGTTCCCCTTTTTTCTAGTTTTATCTTTTTTGTTTCCACTTTAGACCTCAGTACAGATGTGTGATTTTCCTTTTGTGAATATAAAAAATCTGTCCCAGTTTGGTCATCATCATTCGTTTGTCTCTTTTTTTATTTTTTTATTTTATTTTTTTTATTCCTTCCAGAAAGAGGAGGATGCTGGTAAAATTGGGGAGATTAAGTACTACGGTATCGGCGGCGGCTTTCCCCTGCAGTATTACCCCTACTACGGCAAGCTGCTGCACCCTCAGTACCTGCAGCCGCTGGTGGCGCTGCAGTTCACCAACCTGACGATGAACACTGAACTGCGCATCGAGTGCAAAGTGTACGGAGACAACATCGGCTACAACGAAAAGGACCGCTACCAGGGACGCTTCGACATCAAGCTCCAGGTTAACAATTTATGACCGTCGTCAGGACCGTAGCACTTTCCCTGACAGCCTATCCCCCCACCCCCACCCCCTATCTCCCCCCTTGTCCTTATCTAAATAGAAATCTAATGTAGGAGATTTTAAGTGAGGGGGTCAGGCTGCAGCGGTGAAGTCAATCACAACTAGTCTTGAATGAATTAATGAAAGGAAAAAAACCTGATAGGGGACCGATGTGTAATCTGTCTGCTTTCATAACTAGCTTCTACACTTCTGTCTAGCGTTAGAATGTAATTTAGAGGAGAAGTAGAAATAGACCTAATGAAAATATTTATTCTGCTGTAAATGAGACTTTTAAACAAGCCATGGGACGTTGTTCATTGATGACTGTAAAGTTTAATTCCATCTCTGACCTGTAGCGAGCTGTGTTTGTCCCCCACCCCCGCCCCCCCCTGCACATCGCTGCCTCGTGTGGTTCCAGTAGATATTTTTGGAGTTTGCAGTAGTCGCAAAATCTGGTCCTTCCAAGCCACGCCTCATTTTCTTCTGCGAGCAAGCTTTAGTGGCTCTAGGCATCTGTGTCAGACATAAACACTCACACACTCACTTAACTTGATGATTGAAATTGTTTGATATGAAACACTCTTCTGATCTGTGTAAGGAAAAGGCTGCACTCCAGGGAACTTCTTTCCTCTTTGTATTTTACATGTGATCATGGGTGACTTTACTTTGCCTTTTTTCTTTTGATTTTGTGTTAAATCACTTTAAACGTGTGAAGGAGTTTTTATAACTTTGTTTCATGCCTTTTACTTTTATTT